CATATATATATATATATATATATATATATATATATATATATATATATATATATATATATATATATATATATATACACACACACACACACAGACATAAAAGGACAAAGACTTAAAAGGCAACAAAAATGGCCTTTCACCACCATGTGGGACAAGTCCCACTTGTTTCCAACTTACAACAAACTATCTTTCAGTTGGTAGGTGTCACACCTCCTTTTCTTACACCCACAAGGGCATAAAGGAGTTTTTTCACTCAAAGGACAATCGGAATGGGATTTATTATTAAGATTTCAGAGTCGCTATTTGGGAGATTAATGGTGTCCCAAGTCACCGGTTGAATCCCGAACCGAGGAACTTATGACTCTGTTTAACAGTCCGCGATCCAGAAATCCGAGTAAGGAATTCTGTTAACCCGGGAGAAGGTGTTAGGCATTCTCGGGTTCCGTGGTTCTAGCACGGTCACTCAACTGTCATATTTGGCTTATTTGTTTGATTTTAGTACATGTTTAATCTATGTGCTTTTAACTTTGAACCGCTTCTATTATTATTTTAAGAGAATTGCAACGTCGCGAAAACATATCTCGAACTGCGTCACATAAATGCACCCGCAATTTTTGACACATTTCGACTTCGTTAGGATTTGGATTTGGGTCACATAAATGTGCACCCGTATTTAGGAAGGTAGAATTATTTAAAATACGCGCCTAAAGTACCTAGCGTGTTGTTATCTTTGGGGAAAGCCGCGAAATTCGCTAAACGGCCCATCCCGAATTCTATGTATTTTTAGTATAAGCATTTATCGAGGACCCCGCAATTTGTTTGTTTTGTTCGGCGAGGTTCATCTCATTCTTATTTAAAGGCCATCCTAGAGCAAACTACTATTTTCTATTTTAATTTGTCTCTAAAGAAACCTAGTTGCCTAATATTATAAAATTCGGGCTTCAAGTTCAAGTCCGGATTCAAACAAAAGGGCAAGCCTTTTAGTTTGGACCCGCTACCTAACCAGAGGGCCCAAATTTGTGTTAGGGAATTTTAACTTGAAAAAGAAAAGAATTGCACACTTTTAACACATTGGGTTTAAAAACACAGTCCAATCCTAAGGGTAACTGTTTTCAAGACTAGGTGACAGTTTTGGCTGATTATGTGGGCCTTATCGTTGAGCCCAGAAGCATGAGATAATTCATTTGTGACTACTATCAACCTTCGGGCCTTGAGGCAAGCCCAATTGGGTAGAACAAGCAGGCCTGGGATTAGGCCTGGCATCAGCATGTTGGGGCTCAGTACAAGTGGTGTGGGCTACCCAGCCTTGGGCTTATGAGTAAGCCCAAACAGAATTAAAAAAACAAAAACAAACCTCAAACAATTGGACCTGTCAACTGGAATAATAAGCAGAAATATTCAAATCCAATACAATTATCAAGTTGATTCTAAATTTGTTTTTCAGATTTAAATTAGTGAAATCCTTCAAACAAACAACACTGAATGGCCTAACATCGAACTCAGGGTTTCTATATTATTGGAATATGATTTTTCATATTTTCCTGAGTCAGCACGCTAAACCTGACAGCTAATAACAAGTTTATCTATATGAGCACACTTGCCATTTCGCTGGACCTGAAACTTGAACAACTATTTTTATCTAGCTAATTCGATTATCATTGAACACTATAGTAGGTCATGCTAAAATCAAAGCAATATCCTAGTAGTTCAAAACAGTCAATATAAACATCATAACCAACCTACGAGCTATCGTAATCTACAACTAAACTCAGCTCTACAGTTCAATTATACAGCCTATCCATGACAGTGCAAACAATTCCAAAAATAGTCCTTAATTATACATTCCAGTCCGGTCCAGTTCTCATCTTAAAATACAAAGGATATAACTATCGAACTTATGCAACTACTTCGAAATATAGGAGGCTAATGACACAACGCAACTTCAGCAAAGATCAAACATCACTTTTATTCCCATGTTTGCTTGAGAAGATACAGCAGATCAGCTTTAGATTATGTACCTGGAAATCGAAACTCAACCAGAAGAGATGAGGATCAGCAGCAGATCAAGCAGTTAGCAGAGCAAGTAGCAAGTCACGGCAGCAATTTTAACCCAGGAGTGACTCAGTGATTCCAGAAATGTTTTAAGCCAAACGAGACTGAGATTTTAACCCAAAGCAGCATCAAAATGCCCAGAAATGAACGCAGGAAAGCAATATATTCAACTAATGACCCACAGTCGACTCAAATTACCCAGATCCAATGCCTAGATGACTCGAACTGCCTTTAAACCTCATATATCAAACAAAACAAGGAGATTCAAGTAGTTGGGATCCTACATGAGCTAGAGACTTGAACTAAATGATGAAACCTGAAAATGACTTAAGGAACACTAATGTAACAGTAATTTTTTGGATTTTTATTGCTTTTTGTTTCTTTTTTTTGAATTTTTTGAAGATTTGGAGTTTGGATTTCAAATTTCAGATCTGAAACTTGTGGACAATGAGAGGGAATTTTTGGAGGCTCCAAACTTGTTCTCTAAGGCACTATACACTGCCTTTTATAGGCCAAATAAGGGGCAACCCTCAAATTTCTGTTTACACTCTTAGTCCCTCTTTATTTTCAGATTAGTCCTCTATTTTTTAACTTGTTACCCAAGTTATTATCCTAAATTTACTGAAATCTAACTTGAGCCCTGTTCTAGAAGATTCTAAGGAATTCTATTCTAATCTACAGCATTCTATCATGTTATCAAATGCCCAAAATACCCCCTGAATACCCTAAAATTACCAACCTTATCTCAACTAAAACCCCAACCCTTTCACCATACCTACATACTATCAGCTATAACTAATCCGACCCTAAAATTGAACTAATTATGGAAATTGATTCTGACAAACAGTAAACTAGCAGTTAATGGCAATCAACTCAAAGCTAAAATCAAATTAACAACAGCAACCATGAATTATTTAATCGAAACCAAACACCAAATTAAACTAAAAAAAATCAAAACAGAACAAAAATTAAACAAAAATAGAATCCATAAAACGAAAATCAATTAACCCTAAAATTCCTAAATCTATTAATCATTAGAACAACTAATCAAAGCGGAAAATCACATAGAAATCAAAAATGAAAAAGAAACCTTACTGATTAGGTCTTCTAGTAGACTGCCATTGAATCGAGTCTCCAAATAATGTTATATGTTTGTTCTTAGCAAGAACTAACACATAACTTTATTTGGGAACTCGAATCGACACTGGTAAACCTTGGAAAATTCGACCAGTCCTTGAGCAAACTCCAGATCTAGAATTTGTGCAATTGTAGCCAGGTTTGAAGGATTTCAGTTTGGGATTTGGAAAGGAGAGAAGGAGGGGAGGCTATGGTGTAAACTTGGTAATGTTTGGGTGGCGGCGCCGCCGTGTGCGGCGGAGGCGGCATTAGGGTTTTCAAAATTCAAGGAGCTTGGGTGAGATTTGAGAAAAATAGATTGGGGGGTTGGAAATGGGAGGTTATGAGGAATATGTGGTGTAAATTTGAGGGCCATTGGATGCCGGCCGCCGCCGTGAGGCGATTTCCGGCGGCGGCGTAAGGCGGAGCCGGCGGGGACAACAGGTACGAGGAAGAAAAGGGTTTGATCTTTAGGGTTTCTAATTTTCAGACAATTTTATTGAAAATCAACGTCGATTATGAGCCGTTGGATTGAAGTGAATGGATGGCTTAGATTTAATTGGCCTTCATTAATCCAAAACGACATCGTTTTGTATATGGGGGCTGGACCGGATCAAAACCTTTGGGCTGGGGTCGATTCAAACTGGGTTTGAGGGATTGGGCTCGAATTAATTTGATATTGGCCCAATCTTGGGTCTTCATTAGGACAGCCCACTCTCTTTTATTAATTGCTTTTTCTTTTATTTCTTTTATTTATCTCTTATTTTATTTTTGTTTTCATTTGTTTATATATATTTTTTTTATATTTTCTTACTTAATAAAAATGTAAAAAATAAAGACCTAATATATTTAAAAGTTAAACTAATTCCTAAAAAATGTTTAAAAACTATTTCATGGCAAATTCAACAATTAAAAATGCAAAACTGGGCTATTTTTGTTATTTTCTTTATATTTTGTTCTAAAAACCACTTAACCCCTAATTAATCCTAAAATATGAAACTAAATCCTAAATGCAAATGCCAAATGTATTTTTTTATATTTTTTCATACGAATTAAAACAAACACCAATAAAATGCAACAATTATCAGAAATAACACAAAAATTCACAAAAATTGTGAAATAATAAAGAAATCATTTTTGAATTTTTGGGAATAATTCATATAGGGCAAAAATCACGTGCTCACATTCACCAGTTCCTTAGCGATGGGAAAGGCCCAAAGATCTACTTCCATACCCACCATAAATTCAGCTGATTTCTTCACTTCTAATATCGCTCAAGTTGTGTAGTTTCATCCTTCATCCCAACTTCCAATAAAACTATCTGACAGCACTAATCTCATTTTCCACATTAATGTGAGGACATGACCTGATGCCTTTTCTTGATGGCACCAGACCCCCCCCCCCCCACCCCCCCACATACACACCCACTCCCCCAATCGAAAAGATAAGACAATAAAGAAATAGCCAACCCAGACTATAGAATTTGGTTTCGCCGAGATAGCCTCATCCGAAATGCTCTAATGGCATGTGTTGACGCTTCAATTGCACCCACTATAGCTACTGCTGAAACATCTCAATAGGCATGGGACATGCTTTATACGACTTATGCTAATAAGTCGCAAACTCGAATATACAGTATTCGTGATCTGCTCGACAAGACTACATGGGACTTCAAGTCAGTATCAGACTATCTTCAGGAAATTTGATCAATAGCCGATGAACTTGCAACGGCTGGCACCCCAATCAGCAATGCCGAACTAGTTGTTAAAATTCTCAACGGCCAAGGCCCTGAATATCGTGAGATAAGTGCTGCAATCCGTGCTAGGGACACACCAATATCAGATCATGAAGTATTTCTTAAGCATGAGGAACTCAAGAAGACCGGTCTTTCCGTCGCAGCAAATGTAGCACAGAAAGGTTCAAACAACCACAACTTTAATCGCAAAAACAATCACAACCGTTGGAACAATCAACAATCACAATCACTACGTACAAATAATTGTTCCCAACAACCCTACAATGGTCACTTTTATGGTGTAAATCAGTTGTTTTCTTATCCATCCTTCTGGAGACAAAACTTCCAAAACGACCCCCAAGGACAGGTTCAATGCAAGCTTTGTGGAAAACTTGGCCACACTGCCAATGTATGTCGCTCACGCTCTCAAAACCACATTAAGGCCAAGCCACTTCTTGCTACGCGACAAGCCCAGCAAAATAATACTCCGTGGCTTCTTGACACTGGAGACTCTCATCATATCACTGATGACTCGCACAATCTCATCCCACCATTGGACTACACTGGTACTGAGAAAATCTGCACGGGCGATTGTAACGGTATCCTGATTACTCATACTGGCTCATCTACCCTTTGCACTCTCTCTAAAAAAAATTCTCTATAATATTCTCTATGAACCGCATATTAAATGAAATCTTATTTTAGTTTCTAAGTTCTGTAATCAAAATCGCACTTCTATTGAATTTTCCCCCTCTTTCGTTGTTGTTAAGGAGCTGAACATGGGAGCACCATTGGTTCGAGGCCAGAATATGAATGATCTGGGTGGCCAATGTCTAGTTGTTAATCACCATCTGCTCTCACTTATAACGATCTGATCGGTCATTTTGAGTATTAACATTTTATTCAGCTATTTAAAGTCTTAAGTAGCTCCATATAATGTATTATGACTCGTATGTGTCGTCAGTTTTGGTTTTCAAGTGTTTCGGAATTAGTTCGGAAGAATGAATTTCATGTTTGAATCTTTAATTTGGAAGAGTTGACCAGGTTTGAATTTTTAGTATTTGACCTCGGAACGAAGTTTTGATGGTTCCGTTAGTCCCGGATGGTGATTTTGGACTTGGGCGCATGCCGGAATTTTATTTGGATATCATTAGAAGATATCGGCACTAATCGGCGAAAGGTGGAAATTTGAAGGTTTGAAATGTTCATAAGTTTGACCGCGAGTTTACTTTGATGATATCTGGTTTGAATTGTGGTGCCGAAAATTGGAATAGCTTCGTTATGTCATCTGGGATTTGTGTGCAAAATTTGGGTTCATTTTGGATTGATTTGATATATTTCGGCACGAGATTTGGAAGTTGAAAAATTCAAAGTTCATCCAAGTTTGATTTGAGGTACGATTTGTTGTTTCGATATTGTTATGTGTGATTGAGACCTCGAGTAGGTCCGTATTATGTTATAGGACTTGTTCATATAGTCGGACGGGGTCACGATTGGTCCGGATGAGTTTTGGACGAGGTTCGGATCATTTTATTGCATGTTGCAATTGGCTGAGGTTGCTGGTTCTGGTGTAGCCGCATCTGCGGGAAATGGTCAAAGAGGCGACTTCAAGATNGCAAAAGCAGGGAAAGGATCGCAGAATCGATGGCTGCCTGGTTCAGATATTTCTCGCTGAAGCAAAATTTGTACCGTAGAAGCAGAGGTCGCAGATGCGACGATATGATCGCCTATGCAATGAAGCCTTGGCATAACCTATATTTCGAGGTTTTGGTTCTTATTTCACATTTTGGGATTTTGGAGCTCGGTTTGGGCGACTTCGGAGAGGAATTTCAGCACATGAATTGGGGTAAGCATTCTTAAGTTGGTTGTGATTATATTTCATGAATTAATCTTCGTTTTTTCACGTTTGATTATTCAATTTGAAAGATAAATTGGTGGAATTATCTATAATTTCATAAAACTTCGAGTTTTGAATTTCAATTAGGCGGTCGGATTTGAGTGAAATTAGTATGGTTGGAGTTGTAATTGAATGACTTATCGGATTTTGTGAGTTTTGTCGTGTTTCGAGATATGGGCCCCATGTTGACTTTTGGTTGACTTTACGAGCGGAGTTGGAAATGCTTATAAATTGTTAAATTTTAAGCATTGGAGTATATTTTGATTAATTTGCATGTTGTTTGACTAGTTTCGGATCGTTTGGCTAGTTTTGAGTCGTTCAGAGGTTGATACGCGCGGGATGAAATTTCTAGAATAATGTTGGCTTGCTCGATATTAGATTCGGCTAGTTCGAGGTTGCCTTTACTATTTTATAACTTGCGGGGATGGTTGACTTGGGTTTGGAAGGGTTCGGGTTGAAATCGAAACACTTGGTTCCTTAATAGAGGCCTAAGATGGCCAAGTTTGACTTGAGTCAACATTTTCAGTAAACGAACCTCGGAACAGGGAGTTTGTACGGTTCCGAACTAGGTTTATTGATGATTTGGTACTTGGGCGGTGTGTTCGTATTAGGTTTCGGTANTTGGACTTGGGCGTGTGTTCGTATTAGGTTTCGGATAATCCGGGAGCGTTTCGACACTTAATGTTGAAAGTTGGAGCATTGGAAGTTTTCAAGTTCTTTAATTTCGGTTTGGAGTAGACTTTGGTGTTATCGAGGTCCATTTGGGATTCTGATCCTGGGAATAGTTCCCTATGGTGATTTTGTAACTTGTACGCAAAATTTGGTGTCATTCCGAGTAGTCTAAGTATGATTCAGGGCGTTCGGAGTAAGTTGTAAAACTTGAAGTTCATAATTTGATCCAATTTGATTTTGGGGTGCGATTCATAATTTTGATGTTGTTTTACATGTTCCTAAGTTTGACCGCGAGTTTACTTTGATGATATCTGGTTTGAATTGTGGTGCCGAAAATTGGAATAGCTTCGTTATGTCATCTGGGATTTGTGTGCAAAATTTGGGTTCATTTTGGATTGATTTGATATATTTCGGCACGAGATTTGGAAGTTGAAAAATTCAAAGTTCATCTAAGTTTGATTTGAGGTACGATTTGTTGTTTCGATGTTGTTATGTGTGATTTGAGACCTCGAGTAGGTCCGTATTATGTTATAGGACTTGTTCATATAGTTGGACGGGGTCACGATTGGTCCGGATGAGTTTTGGACGAGGTTCGGATCATTTTATTGCATGTTGCAATTGGCTGAGGTTGCTGGTTCTGGTGTAGCCGCATCTGCGGGAAAATGGTCAAAGAGGCGACTTCAAAGATGCGAGGTTTGCTTTGCAAAAGCGAAAAGGGCATCTGGGCGTGAAGGTCGCAGGTGCAGGCTCATCTGCACGACCGCAGTTGATGTTCGATATGCGCAGAAGTGCGACCGCAAAAGCAGGGAAAGGATCGCAGAATCGATGGCTGCCTGGTTCAGATATTTCTCGCTGAAGCAAAATTTGTACCGTAGAAGCAGAGGTCGCAGATGCGACGATATGATCGCCTATGCAATGAAGCCTGGGCATAACCTATATTTCGAGGTTTTGGTTCTTATTTCACATTTTGGGATTTTGGAGCTCGGTTTGGGCGACTTCGGAGAGGAATTTCAGCACATGAATTGGGGTAAGCATTCTTAAGTTGGTTGTGATTATATTTCATGAATTAATCTTCGTTTTTTCACGTTTGATTATTCAATTTGAAAGAGAAATTGGTGGAATTATCTATAATTTCATAAAACTTCGAGTTTTGAATTTCAATTCGGCGGTCGGATTTGAGTGAAATTAGTATGGTTGGAGTTGTAATTGAATGACTTATCGGATTTTGTGAGTTTTGTCGTGTTTCGAGATATGGGCCCCATGTTGACTTTTGGTTGACTTTACGAGCGGAGTTGGAAATGCTTATAAATTGTTAAATTTTAAGCATTGGAGTATATTTTGATTAATTTGCATGTTGTTTGACTAGTTTCGGATCGGTTGGCTAGTTTTGAGCCGTTCAGAGGTTGATACGCGCGGGATGAAATTTCTAGAATAATGTTGGCTTGCTCGATATTTGATTCGGCTAGTTTGAGGTTGCCTTTACTATTTTATAACTTGCGGGGATGGTTGACTTGGGTTTGGAAGGGTTCGGGTTGAAATCGGAACACTTGGTTCCTTAATAGAGGCCTAAGATGGCCAAGTTTGACTTGAGTCAACATTTTCAGTAAACGACCTCGGAACAGGGATTTGACGGTTCCAATAGGTTTATGATGATTTTGGACTTGGGCGTGTGTTCGTATTAGGTTTCGGATAATCCGGGAGCATTTCGACACTTAATGTTGAAAGTTGGAGCATTGAAAGTTTTCAAGTTCTTTAATTTCGGTTTGGAGTAGACTTTGGTGTTATCGAGGTCCATTTGGGATTCTGATCCTGGGAATAGTTCCCTATGGTGATTTTGTAACTTGTACGCAAAATTTGGTGTCATTCCGAGTAGTCTAAGTATGATTCAGGGCGTTCGGAGTAAGTTGTAAAACTTGAAGTTCATAATTTGATCCAATTTGATTTTGGGGTGCGATTCATAATTTTGATGTTGTTTTACATGTTCCGGGAGTTCGAGCATGTATGTATTATATTTATAGATTGGTGTAGTTAAACCGGGTCCCGGGTGGCTCGGGTGAGTTTCGGACCACCCGGAGTTGAGTTCAAAAATCAACTATATGCTATTCTGGTTTCCTTTTTCGCAAAAGTGGAGAAGGCCTCGCGTTTGCGATGAAGGAATTAGGCTGGGCTGATTTTTGTTGTACGCATTCGCGAGAAGGAGCTCGTGATCGCGTAGCTCTAGGCCACAGGCCTTTGCGTTCGCATGAAGAGGTTCGCAATCGCGAAGGGTTAGGTGAGATAGGGGTGGCACATTGTTGGTCTTCGCGTTCGCGAAGAAGCCCTTGCGTTCGTGTGGGCCAGGCCAGGCAAGCCTTCGCGTTCGTATGGGTATGGTCATGTTCGTGATGTAGAGGCTTTCAGCCCTTGGCCGCTTTGCCTTCGCGATCGCAAGGCTATTGTCACGATCGCGAAGAATGAAAATCTGGGCAGTGACTTGTTTTAAAAACGGGACTTAGGCCATTTTCTCTCATTTTCATTTCCCTTGGCCGATTTTGGAGCTCTTGGAAAGGGGAGTTTCATCTAACATCATAAAGTAAGTAATCTCTACCCAATGTGAGTTTAGTACATAGATTATGGTTAGATTTTAACATGTAAATTATGGAAATTTTTGGATTCTATTGAAAAACCTAGGTTTGATAAAAATGGGATTAGACCACGAAAATAATTATGATATTGAGTAGAAATTATATATTTGCATTCGTGAGGTTGTAGGTAGTATTTATTTACAAAAATTTTGGAATCCCGGCACGTGGCCCGGGGGTGAATTTTAGGAATCTTCCAATTTGGGTTGGGTAATTACTCTAATAGTTAAATTATAAACCTTTGAGCATATATTGATTAATTTATACAATATTTGGCTAGTTTTAAATTTGTGTGGCATCGACTTGACGCTTTGGTGTGAATTGTGGACCGGGAAGAGAATTTAAAAACGAGGTAAGTCTCTTGCCTAACCTTGTAAGAGGAAATTTTCCTCGTATGTGCTATAAATGATTGTTTGCTAATAATTGTGGGTGCTACGTGCGTACGATGTGACGAGAGTCCGCATGTATCTAAAAATCACGCTTATGTCCGGTTAGTTTTAGGACTCTACCATGTATTACTTGTATTATTTGTACTCAACTGGTTAGTTGAATTACTTGAATTATATTTGATATTGGATAAAGGATTTGTAAAGGCTGAGCTTCATAACTTTGAGTTTCGACGGATTACTTGACCGCTCAGCAGATATTACGCCTCCTTGAGTATTATTCCTGTAGTAGCCGTTAATCGGAGTTCGTAGAATATTCTCCCTTCCTGTGGATTGGACCGAACGCCTTGGCAGTATAATAGATGCATCTATGGTTCGCGGCGGTCGACCCTCGGTAGTGTACACATTATTCTTGATTAGGTCATACGACCTCGGCATAAATCGTGCGTGATAATGCTCGGAGTCTGATAACACTTGATATTTCTTCCATAGCTTGAGAATTTATAATTTTTCGATGGCTCTCCTTTGTTGAAATTAGATATGTGATAGTTGGACACTCTAACTGATATTTTGTTAAAGAACCACTTAGTATTGTTCATTAATTCGTTTCCCTGCCTATGTATAATTTATGCACTCTATTTTTTGACCCTTAGTAAGTGTTTGTTGACCCCTCTTCGGCACTTCTTCGATGTTAGACTAGACACTTACTGGGTATATGGTGTTTATGTACTCACGCTACACTTCTGCACTAATCGTGCAGGATCTGAGGCAGGTGCATCTACCGGTCATTCAGGTGCGTACCCCTGATACCTAGAGACTTAGCGGTGAGCTGCTCTCTATGCCCGTTCTGCAGCGCCTAGAGTCTCTCCTTGTTGTATTTATTTTCTGTCTATCTTACTCCGGCCAGTAGTTTAGGAGGTTTTGTGTATTCTACTAGTTTGCTCTTGAACTTGTGACACCGGGTTTTGGAAATATTCTAGTAGACATTTTTTGGTTTTGAGTATTAAATTTACTATTTTACTCTTTCGTTATTTTGTGCTTTACTTTACTATAATTTCCTATTTATCGTTCTCTTATTAATAAAAATCAATTACTTTAA